GCGGCTTCCGGAACTACTCGAGATTGGGATGATTGGTGAAGATCTCGAACGTTTCTGTGGCTCCTAGTAGTAACTGCCTCCATTCATCCAATGATAGCATGATTGCGAGCATTTCCTTGTCGTAGATCTTGTAATTTCGCTCGGTTTCAGTCAATGCGTGCGAAATAAATGTGATTGGGTGCCAAATGCGGTCTTGGTTTTGGCTCAGAACGGAGCCTGTTGCCCCTTCCGAAGCATTGGCTTCCAGACGATATTGGCCAGTGTCATTTGGCAGTGCTAGGACCGCATCCTCCGCGATTCTCTTCTTCAATCCCTCGAATGCCGCGTGCTTGTCCGTACCCCATGACCAACCTGCCTTCCCTGTCAGCCGTGTCAACGGCTTCGCAACCTCCGCATATCCCCGGACGAAGCGTCAGTAGAAGTTGGTGAACCCCAGGAATGCTTGGACCTGTTTGACGCTCTTTGGTTCGGGCCACTCCATCACACCCTTGATTTTGACCGGGTCCATCCACATCGAATTATGTCCTATAATTACACCCAAATATTCGATCTCCGTGCGTTCGAATTCGCACTTTTCGGGTTTCAGGTACAACTTGTGTTTTTGGAGCAATTCGAGTACTCGCTTCGTGATCTGTCGGTGTTCGTCCAAGGTTTCTGTGAAGATCAATATATCATCAAGATAAACTACCACGTGACCCTCGTTGATCAGTTCTCGGAGTATGTCGTTCATCATGTTTTGAAAGGTTGCCGGGAGTTGGTCAGACCAAAGAACATGACCAAGGGCTTGTACAGTCCACGGTTCGTGCGGAACGCGGCCTTCCACTCGTCACCGTCTTTGATCCGTACATTGTTGTATCCCCACCGGATGTCTAGCTTGGTGAAGAACTTGGCGCCGCAAAGGTTATGGACCAGTTCGGAGATCAGCGGTAGCGGGTATCGGTTTCGGATCGTCATTTCATTGAGCTTCCGGTAATCTTGGACGGGGCGTAAGGAGCCATCTTTCTTCTTGACAAAAAAGAACGCTGATGCCATGGGTGATTTTGATGGCCTAATACATCCGCTTGCCAGGTTCTCTTGTAAGAACTCGTCGAGTTTGACCTGTTCGTTTTGTGATAATGGGTATACCTTGCAGTCCACTGCTTTGGAACCCGGTTTGAGCTCAATTGGGTGTAATGTTCAAGGTAGAACGGTAGAATCACTACCAGGTGGTAGAAAAAGAGCGGTAGGTAGAATGGTAGATTCGATCAGTACTTTTGACAGGTGGTAGAACTATGGTAGTTTACTTTTTACGTAGAGGAACCATCTTTTAGCTCAGCCGCTTTTACTCCCTTTCTGACGCTTCCATGGGCCGCGGTCTGCCCTCTGTTATTGAAGAAAACTTTACCAAAGTCGAGAAGGCAGCTGGGAGGTGTGAGCGGTGGATATGGAAATGCAATCACTGTGGAGATGATGCTGATTCGTCTGGCGCTCGCATTGTTGGACGAGAGAATACCCTTCCAATTCATCTAGTGAAAAAATGCCCTCGAGTCCCAGCCCATGTCAAAGATGCTGCCGAGATATTGATACTGGGGAAGAAACAGAAGGGTGATGGAGTTCCAGATCTGGCGGAAGCTCCTCCAACAAAGAAACAGAAGAAGATGGTGCAGTCCAGTTTGGATGGACACACTGATCATCCGTTGTGCGAAACAACACAAAATGAGGCTGATATTAAGCAGTTTCGGTGAGTAATCTGTTTAGCAGTGACAGGATCACTTACTGGTCCAAGGTTCTTTGCTACAGCGAACATACCCTTCCATGCTGCCAACAATCCCTATCTTCATTCATGGTTGAACACAATCCGCCCCTCCTACAACCCCGCATCAGGCTACATGCTCTCCCACAACATCATTGACAGCGAGGATATCCGCGTGTTCCGGATTGAAAAAGCGAAATTGAAGGAGAGCAATGGCAAAACCCTCCTGATTGACGGATGGGATGATCGTCTGCACCGGAGCTTGTATGGGATGGTCGCCGCTGCACCAGACATGTATCCGGTCATCATGGGTCTCAAGGACATGACAGGAGATCGAGGCTCTGCCGACAACATTCTCGCGCAATCTGAGAAGATGATGAAAGAGATGGGCATTGAGCAAGCTGAAGGAGTGATTGCACTGACAACGGACAACCCTTCGACTATGATCAGCTTTCGCAAGAAATTCACGGCAAAGGATAAGTACTGGTGGGTGCTGGTGAGTTGAATGATCGTGCATGGGTGATCTGTCGCTAATCTTGATGTACAGACATTTGCCTGTTTCCTCCACAGTGTCAATACACTGCTCGGAGAAGTCCTCAAGTTTCCTGTTATGAAAAAGATCATCTTCGCAGCAAACAAAGTTGTCATATTCTTTGATTCCTCTCACTACTGGGGCGGTCAGCTTGCTAGTGAAGCAAAGAGAACGGGAATCAAGAGGAAGATGAAGAAAAACTGTGAATCCCGATGGTACGCCATTGCACTGCTTGCTGCAAGTGTGCGCGACTACCGTCAGCCCCTCCGTGTCACTTGTCTGCGTGAAGATGCGCAAGAGAAGCAGAACGGACTCTCACCTGTCAATCCCGATGTTGTGAACACTGTCTTGTTCACGCCAACATTTTGGACGCACCTCCAACTGCTCCTTCGTGTTGCCAAGCCCATTGTTGATGTCATCGGCGCCTGCGAAACACGACAAGCTACCTTGGCCGACTGCGTACTTCATCTTCTCCGTTGTGCCCAATCCTTGAAAGATGTCAGGAAGGAACACAGTGACGATGACGAGGGATTCATCACACACGCGCACGCTGTCTTCGATAGGCGCTTCAATCTCATTGTGACACGTATACACGTCCTCGCCCTATTCCTTCATCCCATGTGCCGTCGGCTTGCTGTGTCGCGTCCTCAGACAGGTTACTCGTTCCAGGATGTTGTTGAGATAGCGCTCGAGCTGTCGGAGAAGTGGCGGTGGCCAGCAGAGAAGGCAAAGGCCCTGATGGAGGACTTGAAGCTGTACAATGCCTTGAAGGCGCCGTTCACAGGAAGTAGCGAAGACACACTTACTTGGTGGACACAGATGGGCATCGACTCGGGTACACATCCAATCAAGACAATGGCAGTTTGTCTCGCATCCGTCTGGCCTCATTCGGCCGAAGTGGAACGTTTTTTCGCAGCGATGGATGGTATTCAAAGCCCGGAGAGATCTAACATGTCTGTCGAGACTATGGAGCAACTCGGAAAGATCAAGACTCATCTTGTTGGCGTCAAGAAGTCTTTGTACCCAGAGAAAAACCAGTCCCGCACCTCCGCTGTTCTCGAAGTCCCGGAGAATGACCCAGATGATCCTAAGGCTCGATTCAATGGTCCATTTGGCACCGTTGACCCAGCTGGTAACGGTGATGACAGCTCTCTTCACGATGGGATTTCAATTGCATCAGAGGAACTGGAGAAACGACTAGCTGACGAAGCAGGACATGAGATGTTAAGGGAAATTCTCCCACGCTCAGTGCTACGTGGAGACGTATTCTCATTCGAAGAACTTACATCAATTGATCAGAGAGAGGCGCCCACTCCATTCAAGGAAACCCTCCATACAGCAGGGAATGCTGCCGAGGGCAGTTGGACTGTTGCAGAGATGATGAAGCAGCTTTAATCACTTCAAAATTATTCTTGTACAGCTATTTTTTGTCAAAATTGCAGAGCGCTTGCGTCGAAATCAGAATTGATGCACGTGATCAATACCACATGGTAGAATCCACCAATTCTACCAGTTCTACCTTTCTACCGGTAGATTTTCACAAAAAAATTCTACCCCAAACATTAATTGGGTGGTCCCACGCTCGTTGGTCCGGTAGCGAGTCAAACGGTTCCTTGGCAAATACTTTGACAAATTCCCAATATTGATCCGGAATCTTCCCCTTGGTCATTCTCTCTTTCTCCTTTTCCGCTTCTTCTGCGAATGTCTGTGCTGGCATTTCCTTCAGCCGCAGATCCACTTCCTTCCCAAAATCGACCAACAGGATTGATTCTCCCTCTTCCATATCTGGTGTGTCCATGTCCAGGTCGATTGCATCCATGTTGATCATTGCTTGATGCTCCTCGTGACCCCTCATGTGACACCGCTCTGGGCATCAGCTGAATCTCATTATCTGCTCCTGCCAATCCACCTCGGGGTTGTGTTCCATCAGCCAATCAAGACCAATGAAGATCCGAGCTTTCCCTAAGCACGTCAGAAGGAACGTGCATGTCTCCACATGAGGGCCAATTCTCATCCTCAGGTCGACGTAATGCGTGATTTGTCCGCTGATGTTCTCGGTGTTGTCAGCGTTACAAGCCACAATGGGTTGCGGAAGTTCTTGGATATCCAGTTTCTCTGCCCGTGCATAGTCGGTATTGATGCAACAGGTACTGCAGCCACTATCGAGCAGCGCCTTGACCCCGCGCGTTTTTCCTGAGTCCAGACTCGTGATCTGGACATATACGTCCATTGAATGCCTCTTTCTTTCGGCCTGGTAACTGCGCAATTCCTGCGCCAATCTGCTGGGCTGGGGGCCCTTCTGTCTCTTGGTCGCCAATTTTCTCTGGACGGCATCTGGCACCCTGGTGCGTTTGGGTGCTTCTGGAACCTTGATTTTGGCAGATTCCTTAGGCGCTTCCTCCTTTTTCAAGGATTGAGCCTCCGGAGCAATGTTCCCCTTTTTGGTCTTTGTTGACGTGGTTCCTTCTCCACGAGCCATAAATACGTAGGAGTCCAAAATTAATTTATCTGCAGCCTTCTGATCCTTTTTGCTCTGTAAATACTCTCTATTTAAAGCTATTTTTCTTTGGCGTTCTTTTTCCATATCGGCAACAAGAAAATCGTGAATATTGGTACGTAATGAGTCCGAGATTGTGTATGTATGTGCAGAATCGTTCATGTGTTTAATCGAAACAAGTACAGAAAATCGTCCATAGTCCGGACGCTCCACCTCCTTGGCTAGAGGAGTGGAGCGCTTCAAAAACCCTTCTCACGCAGCTTCTCGGCAATCTCCTTGAGGAACTCGTTGTCCTTGTCCCCGTTCTCGATTTCTTCTAGCATTGTGGCCCGATTGAAGAATGTGCGCTTCTTCTTGGGCTCCGGACAATTCCGCACGATGTGTCCAGGCTGCTGACAGTTGTAGCAGATGATATTGCGGCCCTGGGCATGGGTGCAATCGATTTTCATTGGAACCGGCTTGTTGGCAGCTGGCCGGGTCGGAGCAGGTGTGGGCACCGCTGGTGCTGTCTGAGGGCGGAATTGGAGGGGAGGCCGCGGAGTCGAGTGCGCATAGGAAGCCTTACGCAGCTGGTCACGCAAGGCATTGGCCTCGATGTTGACACACCAGTCCTTGAAGGCACCATATGCCTTGGGCAAAGGGACACTGGTGTTGTAGAGGCGACTTGCAATCTCGCTGCTCAGCCCACGCTCAAGGAACTCGATGAGGATATTGTCCTGATCCCCCTTCTTGTACTCGCCCTTGCTGTCGGTGGAGGTGACCACGTTGTACCCCGCGTCCGCAGCCAGCATCTCGAAGTCGGAGATATAATCCGCAAAGGATTGTCTATTCTGGCGCAGAGCCATGAGTTGAGCGGCAGCAACTTGCTCCATGTTGGAGTCCCCAAAGGCCCTCTGAAGTTCCTCTAAGAAGGTCGCCGAGGTGACCCCAGCCTTTATTCCATTAAGGCTTTCGAAGTTGCGCTGTTTCCAGTTCATTGCCCATCTCGAGGCGGCGCAGCTTGTGCCAGCCTCATTGCGGAGGTAGGAGAGGATGAAGAGGATTTTGGTTTCATCCAGCAAGAATTCTGACTGGTATGCGCCAATGTAGGTGGTGCACGAGTCCACAAAGCCCATGTATTTGGTCTTGTCGCCATCGAAGTAGGGGGGGTTGGCGGCGAGGGTGATGCGGTGGTGTCCTGACATGGTAGGAGCAGGCGTGGTAGGTGGGGGCAAGGGTGGTTGTTTGGAGGGTAACTCGTCAAGGTTGGGGATCTCATCTTCAGGCGGCAGGAGGGCGAGGTAGGGATTGGAGGGCCCCGGTTGGTTTTGATACACCAGATCGGGCAACAATGGTAGGATGGGAGGAGGAGACGGACTCCCAGACGACAATGGGAATCGGAACAAAATGGTGGATTTGTGTGCTGTACAAGCACTCGAGGAAAGGTTCTTTTGCTAGCAAAAAGATCCCGGGCCTAGCTCTTCACATGCCCGATGATCCCGAGGTGCATTTTCCTGAAGGTCTCCGCAGCACTCCTTGTAGCTACCGTAAGGCTTGGGTCAGGCTCAACGTTACCCATGGCCTGGTGCTGTTTGCTTGATATGAACCCTTCACTGTGATTGCAGGGAACAACTAGATGATTCGGTAAAAGGGTGAGTTGGTTGATAAGGGTTAAGAGGATATAGCAGGCGTAGCAGTGCGGGATGCAGGGTAAGAGGTTTGAGGTAGGAGGGTATGAGGGGAGTCTTCGAATTATGTGACAATCAACCAAAAACAATAGTCGAAAAGAGAAGTGAATTTGAAGACTGGAGAATACAACCAAGTAGCGACAGTATTTATACCCAAATCCAGTCTGAGTCATATCTACAACTAATGAGTCATAAGGCTATGTACCGCATGGAGCACTGGTCATGGGTTGTAGTAGAAGCTTCTGGAGCATGTGTTGTGCAGCCTTGAATCAATAGAGATATCCCCCTGGGCCCCTAGTCTAGACCATGTGATGCCGTGATCTGTGATAAGATAACCCATGCCAAGATAAGATAAGATCATTGATGATAAGATGAAAAAGTGGCCAAACTATGACAATCATTGTCCCATTGCCCTTTTATTGTTTTCTGTCCCCTCCTGTTGCTCGCCACTGTCCCCTGCTCATTTTTAGTTGATCTCATCCCTTGAGCCTGATCTTGTTTAGAATTAGAATCCCACACGTTATACTGCACGAGCTTGAGCTGTAGCTCCCTTTCCACAACCACCAACTAGTCCCTTACCTTGTCCTGTATAGCTACACACTCATACGCTCCCTAGGCGTGTCACCAGCCTATTGTCATGATACATGATCAGTCCATCTTTCTTTGTCCATCTGATAAGGGACTTCTTCAATGCTGTCTTGACGCTCTCATTGATTGATTGAACAGCTTTTTTTTGAGTTGATTGTCACAACTACTTATCATACTTACTTATCCTGTAGCCTGATTGAGTCACTTGTCTACAGGTATATATGGAGTTTTACCACTGCCTGGTGTAATATAAGACTGACAGAATTACTCATCTACATCATCCTGTTCAGGCAAGTCAAGCCAAAACTCGAAATCCTGAAAGCCAGTAGAGCGTTGAATGCCTTGCCTAGCATTATCAAGCAACTTCAGTAGAGCAGGCCAGGCCGCAGTGGTGGGCTGCACAACCTCCTCCCAAACCTTGGAGAATGTATAAAGGCTGGAGGCTAGACCACTTCTCCTCTTGGTTGCAGCAGTGTCTGTTGGAACAAAGTTCCAGCTGGTCAAATGAGCGCCATAATAAGGGGCCAGTTGACATTCTTGGACTGCCAGTGTGGCCAGGTCCTTTATAGGGCCCTGGCACCATCTGAGTTGCTGGGTTGTCACTTCGTAAGCAATGACAGAAGGCCAAGCTGTAGAGAGGAGATGCCCCTTCATTGAGCTGCTATGAGAGAGCAGATAGTCCTGGAGATGCTGATAAGGTGGTTCCAGACTGGGGACCACTAAGTCCTTGCCCTTGAGACCCACTTCTCTGAGAGTTTTCTTGCTTTTAGCATCCTCTCTTTTTAAAGCAGCTAGTTCTGCCTTGCTCTTCTTTGCATGTTGTTTGATCTGGGCAGCAAGCTCTCCATCCTGAGCTGCTAGAAAGGAGTGGGATTCCAAAGTGGCCAGGACTATCTTTGTGTGTGTTACAACAAGTCATTTCACAAGTCACAGAGACTTACCTTGAATAGAGCTCTTTTTGCCACTTGATAGCAGGTTTTCTTAGAGGGTCCATGACAAGCCTCTTGGAAGTCTGCTTTGCTGGAGGGTGGAAGGCTAGACCAGCCAGATTCATTCTGGAAGGCCATATATGCCAAATGATTGACAAGGCCACTAGTAGAGTCCAGAACAGAGCCATGATGTACTTTGCCATGATCTCCGGTCTCATGGAGCTTATGGCCAGGAGAGACAAATTCACAGAGCTATCAATACCCAAGTCAGTTAGAAGCATTTCAGAGGCAAGTGAGAAATATCAATTTTCAGAATTCAAAATTAATATTTTGAGCAGGATACCCACTTCCAATATCAATTCTGAAATCGGAAAATTGATATTTGAACAGAAAACTTACCACAGAGATGGATGCATTGCATCCTGTAAACACTTGGAAAAGCATGTCCAACAGGCCTGGACATAAAAGAGGCATTCCCACATCTCCTTTGCCTACCCACAACGGATTCAGAAGAACATCAAGCTTCTGAGTAAACTTGGCATCCTGAAGTGTTTGTGCCCATTTATGATTTTTGGTGATTTTCTTCTCGATGACTTTCTGAAGGATCTCGGAGTATTCAGACCAGCGCTTTTCATAGATTTTGCCAGGAGAGAAGAATTCGATGGTGTTGGTGTTCTTGAAGACTTGTTCAAAGCAGTCTTGAGCTACTTGTATGACTTCTGCAGCCAATTCGTGATTGGGCTCCAGATAATCTTCAAAGAGTTCTTTGTTCAGATACAGTGATGAACAGGTGCCTTCTTGTTGGTTGTAGGTCATAAACCCAGAAGCAGTCAGCCATTCAATGGCTGATAATGAGCTGGATGCAAGAATCTCCCAGAACTGAACAGGGACATTAGAAGACAGTCTTGCCTTTCATAATTAAACCACTTGCCCCAAAAAATCCACTTGTGTCTTTTCTTCCTCCCATCTTGTTATAATGGATAGCAGTCATGCTATGAGTTCTGAAGATGCTGTACCGGCCCAGCTTTCTCATGAAGGGGAGCATATAAAGACGCTTGCTCCATATCAGTCCAAGACCTGTGCTGTCTGATGTCTTGCACCAGTCCTTTATATTGGACTGTTCTTCTTCTGTAATGTGGGGTTGGAAGTACAGATCAATGGTCTGCCACAATGTCTCTGTTGGAGTCTTCATCTTTGCAGAGACACTGCCAGCAGGGTGACCAATCAACGGGAACAAGAGGTCTGCATTTGATTTGCTCTCTAGTAAGTATTGTCAACAAATTGAATAGGGTAGGAACAACACTTCTTACTGTCAACAAATTTGACTAGCCACTTGACGCTTCCCAGAGCCAGCTCAAGAGGCTCTATGGCTGACTTGAGTCTCTCTATGTTCTTGACATTTGTGATTTTGGTGGCTTTCTCTAGTTCCTTCTGAAGCCTCTCATATTTCTTCAGTATTGAGCCCAGCCTCTCATCTTCTTCATAGATCAGCTTTGTTCCAGCAAGACGATGCTGCCCAGCAAGAATTTCCACTGTCTGTGTCCCAATTCCCTGTGTCCAGCAGACCTCTTTCAAATTGGTTGCACTGTGTGAAAGGCAACTTGGCTCCACAGCATCATTGTGGACTTGGAGAATAATTGCATTTTGAGCCTCAAGAGGCTGGATTGCTATGGGATCCCATTGCAGAGCCTTAGCCCAGTTCAAAGCATGAACTTTATCAAGTGGTCTTTGGCCTTCTGCAGGTTGAAGGTGTGGCCCAGGTTTGTTTACAGCCCAGTGTGCTGTCAGAATTGGTGCCAGGGCATATCCAAGACTTGCAGGCTCAATATCAGACTGGTGATGCTTTCCTTTTTTGCTCTAATGTTAAAGATACCAGACTTATCAGCTGTACCGTGATTTAGATATGACTGCTTACCTGTTTGGCTACTGGAGAGTCCCCAGGCTGAAGAGCCTGTTCTCTGGTTCTCTTTTGAGGTTTGGCACCAGCAGGGTACTAGGTAGAATATCAGTTTCAAAAATCGGAAATTGATATTGGTAAGACAAACCTTGGCTTGAGCAGCAGAAATGTCCTGAGACAGAATATTGATTTTCAAATCTTGAAAGTGATATCCATTCTACACACCATGTCCTGGGAAGTATCCTGAGCCAGAATATCAATTTTGAATTTTGGAAATTGATATCAGTAAGACATACCATGTCCTGGGCAGCAGCAGCAGCACCAGTATCCTAAAACAGAGTATCAATTTCAAATTTTGGAAATTGATATTGGTGAGACAAACCTTGGCTTGAGCAGCCGAAGTATTCTTATGCAGAATATCAAATTTCAAATCTCAAAAGAGATATTTGTTGCACACACCATGTTCTGGGAAATATCCTGAGCCAGAATATCACTTTCTGGAATCTGAAATTGGTATTGGCAAGACATACCATATCCTGAGTAGTATCCTGAGCCAGAATATTTGGAATCAATGTTTCTAGCACATACCATGTCCTGGGAGATATCCTGAGCCAGAATATCAATTTTGAATTCCGGAAATTGATATTAGTGAGACATACCATGTCCTGGGCAGCACCAGTGTCCTAAGACAGGATATCAGTTTGGAAATTTGGAAATTGATATTGGTGAGACAAACCTTAGCATGAGCAGCCAAAGTACTCTTACACAGAATATCAAATTTCAAATCTGGAAACTGATATTGGTGACTCATACCATGGCACGAGCAGTGTTCTGAGCCAGGATCTCAATTTTCAAAATTGGAAATTGATATTGCTCATGCATACCGAGGCAGAAGTAGAATTCTAAGTCAGAAATATCAGTTTTGGCATCTGAAAAGTGATATTTGTGAAACATACCATGGTCTGAGCAGAAGCAGCAGCCTGCACAAGGTATCAGCTATCCAATCATCCAGCTGATATTCAAGAGACATGCCTTGATCTTCCAGGCAGCAAGAGAGTTCTTTCCAGACATTGTGAAGATGGTGGTGGTAGGAAGCAAGAGAGATTTGCAGTTTGTGTTTGTTTGTTTGTCTGATGCATCCTTGACTTTGGCCACCCATAACAATCACCCTGACATATCATCTGTCACTGATGCAAGGAAAAGAGACATCCAGGCACCAGAATCAAACAAGAGGCTGCAGTAAACTTTGCAAACAAAATATTGGGAGCATGATACATCAGAAAGGTTGGAATAGTCAATGTTCAAGTCATGTGTATTCACTATGGCAAGGGATGGGCACAGGTGGAGTTTGTATGTATTATTAGATCAGCAAAGAAATGCCCATACACCAAGCCACAAGAGCTATATGCTGCCGAAATACCATCTTTCAGCTGATTTTGGCAGGCTTCCCATAATCCCAATTTCCACAGAGCGATGCTGTAGCTGGGCACCGCGAAGAGTTGGCCATCTTAGATCTGAAAGATTCCCCTTCACACTGTCCACATAAGAAAGTCAATCGAACGCCGGAGACCAAGCAGAGTGAAACCACGCACCCGCCTTCCTTTTGCCCTTCCCCTTCGCGGGCTGCCGCTCATATGCATTCGGCTCCGGCGGTGGCTCGAGCTCCGTCACCGCGCCCACACCGTGCCCGTGCATGGGCGAACCACTTGCGCCGTGGTCATGGTCATGATCGTGGTTGTGGTTGTGGTCGTGGTCGTGCGGATGCCGATGATACTGCCTCGCCCGCCGTGCACGCATGCGCGTCTCATACGACGAGTCCGAGTCCGCCGAATCCGAATTCGAGTCATCGTCGTCCGAGGACGACTCGTCGAACTTGCGCGGCTTGTGGTAGATGCAACAGACTGCGCGCAGACATACAAATCAGCCTCGGGATCACAGAGGACGGCGTACACTTGACGCACTCTTCGACGACTTGCGTCCGCACCCCTCGTTGTCCACGACGTCCTCGCCCCACGCCACCCGCTGCCGGCGGCGCGGCGGACCCCCGCGCAGATGCAGCACCCCCGCGACCCCAGACCCCGATGCTTCATCCGCGCCGCCGCCGGCATCGTCGTCGTCGTGCTCGTGCTCGCCGCTCGGGGTGCCCGTGATCGTCATCGTGCGCGAGCCGTGCCCGGGGGCGGAGGTCTCAGGTCTGCGTCGTGCTGCGACTGACATGCGTGTCTAGCTTGGATCTACTTGTTAGTTGAAGGGAGACGAGCGGTGCAACGATGGTGGTTCCAGTGAAGCGGAGAAATGCTGAGTCAGCCTCAGCCTGGCTGCTTTTCTCAAAAAGGAAACTCGTGCTAACGATAGTCACTTGTAAGATTTGGATTGCAAAGAGTCGATTGTGATTGTTATCTAACTTGTGGATAGCAAAGGGACAGCGAATGAGGTATCAATGGAGGCAAATGCGAGTAGAGAGGACATAGATAGGATGTGCTGTGCGCTAGAGATACAGATCGCCGGGTGCGTGTCATGTGAGGGGGCTAAAAAGAGAATTCGAAAAAAGGGGAGGAAAGCGAAGCGAGGCTCATCCATAGTAGATGCCCTGCGCAGTCGTCGATATGGGCTGGAAGTCCGTGCGGCCGGTCTCGACAAAGTGGTACAGGACCTCGGCCCAGTCGTCTCGCACGTCCCAGCTGATCTTGGCCGGCGGGTCGACCTCGACAGGCATCACTTGGCTGTATGATCCGCACTGGATGATGATGACCGCAGTGCCGATCCCGCCGGCCTGCCGACACCGTTGCTCGCGGCGCTGAATGTCGCCGATGACCAGCGGGTCGCAGATAAAGGTCCGCGGAACCACGTGTGTGCCCACAACGGTGAATCTGGAGGAGGGCGTCAGCGCTGCAGCATGAGGTGGCTGAGATGTGGATAGACGCACCGACGGTTGCAATCAGGATCAGATGTCGGTTCAAGCTCAATCAACAATGCGTTCTTCCGGATGTTGGCGGGAACGCGTTTGAGCTGCAGGGCCTGAAAGCCGGCCCATCCCAGGAGAGCGCAGTGCGAGGATGTGAACTTGCGCAGGCTCTTGATGATGTGGTCCCCGCTGAATCCGGAGCCCTGCTTTGCAGCAGTGACCTGCTCGACCGTGTGCTGGCAGATAGCTTTGTGTGCTGGCCAGTGAACCTTTTGGCATGCTTGGGACTGAGGAAGGATATGAGTATGGATGTCGTGCGGTAGGGTAATTGAACGTACACAGTATTGGGTAACCATCTGGAGAAGAAGAAGAGAGATACAATGAGTGAAAAGCTATGGAGACCGAAGGCTTGAACATACGCATCCGCCACACAGTCTGAACTTCGATACAGCGGGTGACTCAGCTGCACCGCATTGGTCGCACATGCGAAGTCCCCGTTGACGAAGAGAAGCGTGCGAGGGCGGAGAGAAGTAGTTCGCGGCAGCGGGCTGGGGGTAGTAGGCGGTCATGGCGGACAGAAGTTGCTCGGAGAGGAGTAGCCGTTGAAGATCGAAGATCGGCGAGTCAGTGAGCGACAATTGAATGGGGCCATAGCGCAGGGGTTATATAGCAAACGCCCTTTTGTTGAGCGGTATCCAATATTGGCCGTTGATCGAGTTAGGAAACAAAAAAGCAATCCACGTCACGGGGCGCCTACTTCCACGCCTTTTGTTCTCCACACCAAGGGCGTTCATTGCTTTTGTTTCGATGTACGTCCTCGACAGCCTTCTTCGTGGATGCGTGGAAATAAGGTGCATCCCTGAACGGAGCAAGACAATACGCGCAGGCACACGGGGGTAGAGACAAAAGGCTCGATATGGGGCTCCTTCCCTTTTCGGGTGATCGCCCAAACAATTAGCGTGATCTCGATCGCGCCAACACAGCATGCACACAAGCGCTCTTGAGGCTGCCCAGCCCTGGACGAGCTGTCCGAGATTCACTCCCGTAGCGACTGATCGAGTGTTCGTCGTTCTGCACTCATGGATTGCATCATCCCTGAGATATACAGCACCTCATCTGTGGCGCAACCTGGGCCATAAGCCCGAGTTGACTACCAGCGATTTCCATGATCGTTGAACTTGGATGATCCCCAAAAACTCCGAAGTATACTCCAAACGCTGATCTTCCGCACCACATAGGCAGATCTCGGCCTTGTCTCAGATTACCTTGCCAATTTTAGCGCGGCGGGAACTTTGTTCTGTCAGATCATCTGTCGTCCGAGCGGCTCGAGTAGGCGCTTGTGGGCTTATCACAAGCCAATCAGATTGATCTTAATGACTTCCCGCGTAAGCGCGATCGAACGTACGGGGCGGGCCACAGCGTTTGGGGCAATGCTGCTGTTAGACGTCTTGTCCCATGGAACTACATCTCAGGGGCATACTCTCATGCTCTTTTTTGGGTGAATAGCTCTCCTTATCCGTCTAGGTACCCTGGTCGTGCGCAGCCTCAGTAAACGCCAAGCTCCCGCCGCCTCATTGTCCCTCCGTGACTAGTCCGATGAAGACACGACAGTTGGAGCTGTTGAGACTCCATCTCGCCGCCCCTGCCACCAGTTGTCCTGATTCATCATATCAAAGAACCCGTTCCAGGTCTAAAAATTGTTTGCAAGTTGCCACTCTTGAGTCTCAAAATTCCGATGCTAGTCATGCTAAAGCCAGCCCGGGACCGAAGGAAACCGGGTGACAGAATGGAGCTCGGACAGGGTACATTCCTTCGAGAATGTTCCCGTGAGATAAATTACACGATTTCAATAATCAGAGTGACTGGCTGCATCTGCATACTTATCAGAGACCGGACTCAGCGGGCGCATATCCGTCCGTATCACAGATGAAAACAACAAAAAGCAGAGCAATTGTAGTATCTACCGGCGAAAGCTATGGACATATGCTCGAATTTGATTCTCAATGACTCGGATACCTGTGCTGTCAACTTGAGCCACCTCGGGAACATGACACACAGAACATAGTCTATCACTGCGTAGCCACTATGATGCATATGTCATGATGGCACGACTTGCCCAACACTTCCAGACCATGAGATACTCGATTTCGGCCTTGCCACTGGCCGCCCCGTCCCAGCTACTGACTCAGAACCTCACACCCGACCGTCTCACCCCTACTGTCTCTGCGTTCCGCAGCTCCAACCAGAAGAGTCTATCCCGTCGTGCCCGTGCGTAGGAACAATCCTCCCTCCACCTCAGATCACCGACGCCCCGCAGGCCTGCTCGCCCCGGAATCCCACTTCTCCTACGTCATCCCACTGCCAACGTCCTTCCCGTACGACATCGAACCGCCGTCACCCGATGGCAGCGACAACGATGACGCGTCGGGGTCATACATCGAGAACTGGCTCGCCGCGCGCGAAGCATCCGTCGCACAGCCGCCGATCGTGCCCAACGCGCCTCTCACCAAGCATGTTCCGCAGGTGCAGGCCGCCGGACCCGCGCGCCTTCTTGGAATCTCCGAAACGGCCTTGAGAGATTGCGTTCCGCACTTGGAAGTTGGGGACGCGTTCGCGCATCTCGGCGCCCCTGTGCTCGCAGGCACCGAGCCTGCAGAGGAACCGGAGGACGGCTTACCGGAAGCGGTGGCCGCGCGTGAGGATCTCGTGGACGTTTGCAGCGGCCGCGCGGTGCTCATGTCCGACACATTCGCCCCTTGGTCGATGCGATACAGTGGACACCAGTTTGGGAGCTGGGCGGGACAGCTGGGAGATGGTCGTGCTACCTCGATCCGTGTGTAGTGTCCGCATATGCTATCGGCCTCTGGAGAACTGATGCGCATAGTCGTCACTCCCCATCCTTCGGATCCAGAGCTGACGTATGAGCTGCAGCTCAAAGGTTCCGGGAGGACACCCTTCTCACGCTCCGCTGACGGGC